GGTGTGCAGCGCGGGTGTGCAGCGCGGGTGTGCAGCGCGGGTGTGCAGCGTGGGTGTGCAGCGTGGGTGTGCAGCGTGAGTGTGCAGTGTAGCCGCAAAACTAGTTAAAGCAAAAACAACAGGAACAAAAAAACAGCGAGTTGAAGCGGAGCGCCTGTCAGCGCCGCCAAACTGTGGTGCACGTGACGTCCCAGTCCCGTTAACTCGTCAGGTAGTGTTCATCTAGTGTCAGTGATCTAACAGCTCCAGGATGAAGGTTGGGTCAGTCACTCCCAAACCAGGATCCAAACTGAAGAAGGCCTTTGGACAAGACCTGAAACGTCTTCAAGAATCAAGATAAGGAGTCCAGTTGCTTCTACTGAACCACTTAGAAACCTTCACTTTACCAGTAACCCACAAATCCATCCAACCCCATCATCATCATCATCATCATCATCATCATCATCATCATCTGGGACAAAGTCAAGAGTTCTTCAGGGTACGAAAACATCTCCCAGAAATCTCCTGTCAGACCCATCAACCTGTCCAGTTCCAAGCTGTTAAGAAGGAGTTGACCTCCAAACCAACCAGGAAGGTTCCAGGCCTGTTGTCCTCTGGATCTTTTCAGATGGAAGGACTACCCCAGAAATGTCCGCCTCCTTCAGAACATAAAGATCTGATGAAATATGACATGTGATCACTTTGATTTCATTTGTGTTTATGAAGAACTGAGAGAGTGTTTGTTGAAATGCTGATGGTCAGGTGATCATCGGAGAGGGTAGCCATCCAGAGAACGTGAAGGTTTACGGTCCAGGTGTTGAGAAGATGGGACTGAAGGCCAACGAGCCCACGTACTTCACTGTGGACTGCAGCGAGGCCGGACAAGGTGAGACTTGGTCCAGAATTCACTTCCTGACTAACAGGTGCTGGATGTTTTCTTGTCTTTCTGCAATAAATGGGATAAATACGAAGGTGATGCTTATTTCCAGAACATTTCTGCACCTGAGGTCCATCCAACATGTGCAGAGGACACCTTTAGGGATTTATAAACCTCTGGCAGTTGGAGCTTTGCTTTAAAAACACGAGTCTTTGGACAGTCTGTGGTTTTACTTTGTGTTTTTAACAAATTTTCAGTTTAACCGTTGTAAGACACTCAGGAGTTGCATGGATACGTTTGACTCGCTCATCAGAACAAACCATGTGTTTTCCTGCCAGGTGATGTCAGCATCGGGATCAAGTGTGCTCCAGGTGTGGTCGGACCAGCGGAGGCTGACATCGACTTTGACATCATCAAGAATGACAACGACACGTTCACAGTGAAGTACATGCCTCCAGGTCCGGGTCAGTACACCATCATGGTGCTGTTTGCCGACCAGGTGAGAGCGTCAACAGGTACTTCATCCTCAAGGAACACGTTGAGTGGAAAAGAAGCTTAACGCCACATTTACTGTTGAAAACAGGAAATTCCCATCAGCCCTTTCAGAATAAAGGTGGATCCCTCCCATGATGCAGCTAAAGTCAGAGCGGAGGGACCTGGACTCAACCGGGCAGGTGGGTTTGTACCAGGAGTATAAACTCCAGAAGTGGACTTGGTTCCCAAAGATGGAGAGAACAAAACAAAGATGCACTCAACAAGATTTAGTCTCTCACACTGACGAAACAGTCCTTCAGATACGGAACACTGTCCGTGTCTTTATGTGTTACCTGTCTCACCTGTGCAGGTGTGGAGGTGGGAAAACCCACTCACTTCAACATTTACACAAAGGGAGCTGGAAAAGCCAAACCTGAGGTCCATTTCATCGGAGCAGCAAAAGGCGAGGCTGTTCAAGACTTTGAGATCATCGACAACCACGACTACTCGTACACGGTCCGCTACACCGCCGTGCAGCAGGTACCACGCCACGATGAGCAGTGGCTCGGGTCCAACTAATCTGACAAACCTGAGTTAACCAGACTGATCAACTCCAATGAACCGGCCAAAGAACCCGAGTTAAGTGCCGTGTGTGTTTTCCAGGGGAACATGTCCATCACTGTGTGCCATGGAGGAGACCCCATCCCTAAAAGTCCGTTCAGCATCACTGTGGCCCCCTCACTGGACCTCAGTAAGGTCACCGTTCAGGGACTGAACAACAGTAAGTCTGTAGAAAGTTGCTGGCTGTCGGTTAGTTTGGATTAGAACAATTAGAATTCGCCGAATGTGACAGAAATTGTGCACAGTTCATCACTGCGCCGGCTTCTCGTGCACGATCCCTGTCCCCCACCCAGGCTTCCAGCTATGACCTCACTCCACCGAGGGTTCAAGGAGAGAGAGTATTACGTAAGGCCAAGGTTCCTGTCAGGGTCCGAGTCCAGTGTCAGAGGTCAGGCTCAAGGGTTTTATGGTCAGTGTTGGCAGTTAAACTTAGGGTCAAAGGTCAGAGGGTTAGGCTTAGCAGTCTGAGTTAGGTTTAGGGTCAAGGGTCAGGGTTTAGGTTTAGGGTCAGAAGGTTCTCCAAAACAACAGGAAATAAAACCACATCAGCACTACACTGGAGTTAGACTACAGTTTTATAAAGATCATCACTGTCCAACAGGACAGTTAGAAATATTCATATTTTACAAACACTATATATTTTGGGATCGACCGGATCATGTCTAACTGTTGCACTTTAGTTTCAAAAATACTCTAAAAGGACTTGCATGTCTTGGTGTGTGACCATCCTGATGTGTTTGTGTCCAAATGAAAGAGGTGGATGTGGGGAAGGACCAGGAGTTCTTTGTCAGTGTTGGAGGGGCTGGAGGTCAGGGAGAACTGGATGTAAAGATCCTGTCTCCATCACTCCGTCCAATCGCCTGCAACCTGGAGCTGGACACAGCCAGTGAGGTTCACACGGTGAAGTACGTTCCCCACGAGGAAGGACCGATCAGAGTGGACATCAGCTATGACAGAAACCCAGTCCCAGGAAGTCCATTTACCGTGGAGGGCATCATGCCCCCTGACCCCTCAAAGGTGAGCACCTCTCATTCCTTTACAAAAGACTCTTCACTTTCACACTCTCTTCATACTAACCACAGTCTATCAACCCAAAACCCTTTATGACCCTTGAAGCCAGATGTGGTCCAAGTCTTCCATGTACATGGCTTGAATCGACTGGCTTGACCAAACCGTCCAACAAATGTTTAAAGTGAGAGCTGCGGAAACCTTCTGGAATTAAACTCAGTTCAAAGTAGGGTCAATCCAAGAATGCTCAGGAGCTTTTTGACCAGAGTGTAAACTCTTTTTTATATTGTTTAAATAATCCCAATGAACATTTCCTAAAGAACTTAAAGAACCTTTGCTCTGTCTGGATAAACCTTCCACAGATCCAGTAAAAACTTTTCATTCCTATAAAATTGTTCCCTGGTCTTCTTAAACATGTCTTTGTCCAATTATTCTTTTCCTGGTTGTCTTAAACCTTTGTGAGTCCCAGTAAACGTCCCTTGGTAAGGTTAAACCCTTATTGATCCCAATAGGTCTTTCTTAGACCAGGTAAACTTATCTTGGTCTAAATGGATCTTTATAAGTCTCAGTAAACTTCTCCTATTACAACAAAGGCATTTTGTACCAACTAACTTTCTGTAGGACCTTGCTTCAGTAAGACTTTAATCCAAATATTTTGTTATGGTCCCAGTAAATCTTCTCTGGCCCCAGTAAACCTTACCTGGTCCCAAGTTTTTAAGACCTCCCAACAAACCTTCTGAGCTCCACAAAGTCTAGCTGAGTCCCTCGTTTCTTTCTAGTGTCTGTTCCTGAGAAGTCCTTGCTTTGTTTTCAATGTTGTTCAGGTCCAAGCCTATGGTCCTGGTCTTCAGGGTGGTTTAGTGGGGAAAATGGCCCCCTTTGCCATTGACACTAAAGGGGCTGGAACTGGTGGACTGGGCCTGACAGTAGAAGGTCCTTGTGAGGCCAAAATCGAATGCCAGGACAATGGCGATGGATCTTGTTCTGTGTCCTATCTGCCCACCGAGCCCGGTGAGTACGCCATTAACATCCTGTTTGCAGATCAGCATATCCCCGGGTCCCCCTTCAAGGCTGTGGTCCAGTCCATGTTCGACTCCAGCAAGGTGATGGCCAGTGGACCCGGCTTGGAGCGAGCACAGGTCAACGAGACTGGGTCTTTCGTGGTGGACTGCTCCAAGGCTGGCGAGGCTGAGCTCACCATCGAGATCATCTCAGAGATGGGAACCAAAGCTGAAGTTCACGTTCAGGACAACAGCGACGGGACCTACTCTATCACCTACATCCCCCAGAGCCATGGCATGTACACCATCACCATCAAATACGGGGGTCACACTGTGCCCAAGTTCCCCACCCGCCTGCAGGTGGACCCAGCTGTGGACACCAGTGGGGTGAAGGTGTATGGACCAGGAGTGGAACCAAGAGGTAAGACTTTCCTTCCAGTGTCTGTTCTGGTGTGCTAGTTCCACCTGATGCTCTTCAGGTGTTTTTGTCCTGTTTCAGGTCTACATTTTATGTATTTATTCCCTGTCTGATCCAACTCAAGACAAGGGGACACATCTGGGACTGTCCATGATGGTCTTCAGTTGTTTGATTCATCAGCTGCTTTAGGTTACCTCAGGTTGTTTTCTGTTCATCTCTGGAGGGTTAGTGTGGGTTTGTGGTGTTTTTCTGTGTTTCTGCTGGTTTTGTGTCACCTGCAGTGACTTTGTGTCTAACGGTGGTTCCTCAGCTGCAGTGGTCCAGTCAAATTTATCTATAAAGCACATTTAAAACAGCAGCTGTTACCAGTTTGAACCAGCTTGACATGACTGTCGACGAGGAAGAAGGCTGGCTCTGGAGGAGGGGGCGTGCCAAAGAGACCATCTTAGCACCAACATAACTGGTTTGTTCCACTTTGGAGTAAAGCCCCCAGTATACTGCCGCGTACGTCCATATGCAGAGGTACGCACGTACGTACGCAGAGGTACGTGCGTACCCCCCAGCGTACCCTCCGTACAAAGCTCAAATTTTTACGACCGCATACGTGTACGTGGTGTCGCACAATAAACTGCCCAGCGATGGACTGTTTTATATGCGACACCAATGTATTAAAATGAGCTCAGGAGATGACAGATGATAAATCATTGACATAACTTCACTAACAAGAAATTAACTAAATATAAAACAAACAAATAAATTAAAACATGGCAACATACGAAGACTTAGAGTTTAAAATATACAATGTTGAAGATGAGATCGATACAAATTTTTTCCCTGTAATAAAAGACTGTGAATATTACAATGAAGAACAGTTTAATGACATCAATATAAAGAATGGAGGTCTCTCTATTATTCACTTTAACAGTAGAAGTTTAAATGCAAATATATCCAAAATAACAGATTATTTAAAACAGCTAAACAGAACCTTTACAATAATAGCACTGTCAGAGACATGGCTCAACGATGAAAACACAACTAATGTTCACATGGAAGGTATGAATTATATCATGTGAACAGAAGCAACAAAAGAGGTGGTGGAGTGGCTCTATTTGTTAAAAATGAAACAAAATGTAAATTAATTAATGAAATGTCAATAATTGTTGATAATATCATGGAAATAATAACAATAGAAATAATAAACAAGAATGATAAAAACATATTGATAAGTTGTGTATATCGATCTCCAGGATCAAATATAGAAATATTCACTGATAAAATCGTACAACTATTGGACAAGAGTTTTAATAAAAGCATTTTTTTGTGTGGAGACTTTAATATTGACCTGGGAAATAAAACAGATTCAAATAACATCAGTACATTTACAAATTCATTGTGTAGTTTAAATCTTTATCCGTTAATATCAAAACCAACAAGAATTACAACTCATAGTGCTACAATAATCCATAATATTTTCACAAATGTAACAAATGGGGATGTGATGGGAGGTATTTTAATGAGTGATTTGAGTGATCACTTACCAGTTTTTATGATTTATAAAAATGATCAAAGCATTACAAAAGAAATTACAATTAAGAAAAAAACAATAAACACATCAAAAAAAGCATTGGACAAATTAAAAGATGATTTACATAAACAAAGCTGGAAAGACGTGTATGTTGATGATGTGAACAGATCATATGATGAGTTTATGAATATTTTAGGAGCTCTGTATGAAAAGAATTGTGTGCAAAATAATTATACAAAGAGAAATGTTGTTGACCAACCATGGATGATGAAAGAGTTGAGAAATGCTTGTAAAAAAAAAAGAATTATTTGTATACATGTTTCTTGAAATTGAAAACACAAGAGGCTGAAGAGAAATATAAGAAGTATAAAAATAAATTAGTAGCGATTATAAGGAAACACAAGAAGGAATATTATAGTGATTTATTAAATAAAAGTAATGGTGATATGAAAGCTACATGGCGAGTAATAAATAGTGTTCTGAAAAGTCATAAAGCAAAAACAGGTATTTCACAATATTTTTTGAAGGATGACGATGAAATCCATGATGAAAATGAAATTGTAAATGGATTTAATCGTCATTTTGTGAACGTTGGATCAAGCCTTGCTGCTAAAATACCAAAAGTGGACAATAATGTGAACCATTCAGTTATAAGTTGTGACAACAGTATTTTTCTTAATGGAACTGACAAAGAAGAAATAATGAATGTTGTAAAAAATCTTACAGATAAGAGATCAAAAGACTGGGTGGACATGGATATGATGTTTGTAAAGGACATAATGAGTTATGTTATCGAGCCGTTTACATATATTTGTAATTTATCATTTTCAAAAGGAATATTTCCAGACAATATGAAAGTAGCTAAGGTAGTTCCTCTCTTTAAAAATGGTGATAAATGTGTGTTCAATAATTATAGACCAATATCCTTATTACCACAGTTCTCAAAAATTCTAGAAAAACTGTTTGTGACCAGATTAGATCAATTTATTACTAAACAAAACATTCTAAGTAGCAGTCAGTATGGGTTTAGAGCAAAAAACTCTACATCAATGGCTCTCATGGAAATAATAGAACAAATAACTACTGCTGTCGATCAAAAACAGTATTGTGTTAGTATTTTTGTTGATTTAAAAAAAGCATTCGATACTATTGACCACACTATTCTCCTTGAAAAATTAAATAAATATGGAATAAGAGGACCAGCATTACACTGGGTATCTAGCTATTTAAAAGATAGGAAACAGTTTGTACAAATAAATGGTGTAAGATCTGACCTGTGCAATATCACTTGTGGAGTTCCTCAAGGCTCTGTACTTGGACCAAAGTTATTTATTTTATATGTGAATGACTTAGTGAATGTATCAGGACTCCTCAAATGTGTCCTTTTTGCAGATGACACCACATTTTTCTGTTTGGGTAAAGATGTAAAACGGATGTTGGAATTGATGAAGACAGAATTTGATAAAATACAAACTTGGTTTAAAATTAATAAATTATCATTAAATTTAGATAAAACTAAATACATGATATTTAGTAACAAAAAGAGAACTGTTGATGATCCATTTAAAATTGAGGGTGTTGAGATTTGTAGAGTTAATGAGATGAAATTTTTGGGTGTAATCATTGATGAACAGCTAACATGGAAAAATCACATCAATTCTGTAAGAACAAAAATATCTAAATCTATTGCAGTACTATACAAAGTCAGGGAATTATTAAATGATAAAGCTCTGTACATGTTGTATAACACAATCATTGTTCCACATTTAATCTATTGCATTGATGTTTGGGGGAAAGCGTGTAAAACATTTACAAAACCTATTTTTATTTTACAGAAAAGAGCTGTAAGAATTATCACCAGAAAGCATTACTGTCACCCATCAAGCACATTATTTTATCAACTGAACTTATTAAAGTTCCATGATTTGGTAGATTATAGTATTTTATCAGTTATGTATAGGGCTCAAAATAACACATTACCATTAAATATCCAAAGAAATGTTGTTAAAAGACAAAGTTGTTACAATCTTAAGTGGATAGAAATATTTGTCAAACCAACATTCAGAACTAGTCTGAAGGGAAGGTCTACCTCAATCCAAGGAGTTGGATTGTGGAATGTTCTAGAGAGTGATGTGAAAAATGACAAGTCAATGTGTACATTTAAGAAAAAGATCAAAGCTGGATTGTAAAAAAGTATATATGAAGTAGCTTAGTGTGTGTTTTGTATTAGAATTAGAAAAATTAGAAAGTTATTCATTTTGTTCTGTTACTTGAAAATTATTATGATTGAAATAATTGTTTGAAAAAAGGGGCAGATATAATAAGATTTTTTATTCTTTCATTTTAAATCTCCTGTATCTTTTTTATATTGTTATGGAATTGTTTTGTACTATTTTAAAATGAATAAATTTTATACCATACCATACCATTAAATTCCTCTTCTTCATCCCTGATCTGGCCTTTTCTTTAGTTTTTTGCCAAGAGGCAGTGATCTCTTCCTCCTCCGTTGATGCCATGACTGAAATGGTGAGAAATGAAGAAATTTATCACGAATGAATTAAACTCAGGTCCAGCGTGGCTGCGAGAGGTCTGGAGATTTCCTGGTGGGCTGGTCTGATGTGTGGACTGTAGAGCCAGCGCTCTCTGTTTTTTGGTTTTTTTTAGATCTTTTTATTAACAACATATGAACACAGAACACCGCTGTGGCTGCCAGCGCTCGCTTTTTTCTTTTGTCCGACCTGTCAATCAATCCAGTAGGCGTGTCAGCAAATGACGGATCGGCGACCTCAATTTGTCCCGAAGGTAAACGCCCCTCGTCTGTGAAGCTGCTCTGCAGCTGCTCGGGGTGTACGCTGGAGTACGAAGTCTGAACCCTCTGCATACAGTACACGCGTACGTACGCGTGAACGGACGTACGCGGCAGTATACTGGAGGCTTAAGCTGTTGGGGGAAGCATAAGTTTTGTGTTGTGTGTTTCCTTGACTGATGAAGCCTTCTGGATGGAAGGGGAAACATTTCAGAAAAAGAAAGAAACTGTCCAGATGACCTGACTGAAATATGTTGGATTGTATTTTTTTCATTCAACCTTTATTTAGACAGGTAAATCCCATTGAGCCTCGAGGACTCATTTACAAGAGAGACCTGATTTCAACAAAGAAAGATGACAACAATGGACAACAGCAACAACAATAAACAGTTATAAAAGAGGCATACAGGTTTTTGTTTTATTTTATTTTATTTTTTTACAAATAAGATGCAAAAAAAAGTATCAAAAACAGCTAGATTCTAAGGCGAATATAAAAAACTAAAAACAGGAACATGTCTGCATTGGTCCCTGCCAGGAGTCCAACAGGTTCTTAAAGTCACTTAGAGAGGTCAAAGGTCGAGAGCTTCAGATCTTTTTGCAAGAAATTCCTTGAAACAGGAGCGGAGTAGGAGAAGGTCCTTTTGTCTAGTTCAGTCCTCACTGAGGGAACAC